ATGTTACTTAAGGCGAATCTGCGGCCGGGAGATGAAAATTAATATACAGGATGATATGTGTTTTAAGTCGTACAAAATTTTGGTTTGTAGGTAAACTATTCGGATTATTTTTTTGAACGTTTTTTTGGCTTTTATTATGTGCTGAAGATGTGCTTTACTTTTTTTTATTGGCAGATGTGCCCGATAACAAACAACAAGTGAATACGAATACGAAAATGCAACATGAAATTCTGACAAAGTCGTCTGTTAGTGATAAATTAGGAGTATTAATTACGGGCTTAAGGCTGTTGCTGCACCGATCCTCCATAGGAATCATAGGTGAAAAGCTGGCAGCGGAAAATAACTGAGTATTTGCTATTTAGTTATACATTGTTTTTTGAGAATCCTTTACGATTTTGGAGGAGAAAAGATCAAACTGTGATTGTACAGTGTTACTTTTTATAATAACAAATGCAAAAAATTAGTTCGATCTAGTTTTGAGTGTAACTGTATTTTATGGTGTGTTATTATATATCATTTGAAAAAATTAGTCTTAACTTAACAGTTATTAGCCCCACCCACCCGCCCTTTGTTTTCTTAGAGGGTATATCATCTGCCAAAATTACTCTTAATTTGGTGGGCGGGGCTAGTACCTCTTTAGATAAAACTGATTTTGGAAAATCACATACCTTCTAAGAAAAGAGAGGGTGGGTGGGCGGGGCTAATACCTGCTAAGATAAGAGTGATTTTGGCAAATGAGATACTCTTCAAGAAAAGAGAGGGATTTTATTTGCCAAAAATGCTCTTATCTTAGCACGTATTAGCCCCGCCCGCCCACCCTCTTTTCTTAGAGGGTATATCTCATCTGCCAAAATAACTCTTATCTTAGAAGGTACTAGCGGACGGATGGGACTAGTACCTGCTAAGATGAGGCTGATTTTGGCAAATGAGATACCCTTTACCAAAAGAGAGGGTGGGTGGGCGGGGCTAGTACCTCTTTAGATAAAACTGATTTTGGCAAATCACATACCTTCTAAGAAAAGAGATGGAGGGTGGGCGGGGCCAAAACGTGCTAAGATAAGAGTGATTTTGGCAAATGAGATACTCTCCAAAAAAAGAGAGGGATTTTATTTGCCAAAAACGTTCTTATCTTAGCACGTATTAGCCCCGCCCGCCCACCCTCTTTTCTTAGAGGGTATATCTCATCTGCCAAAATAACTCTTATCTTAGAAGGTACTAGCGGACGGATGGGAGTAGTACCTGCTAAGATAAGGCTGATTTTGGCAAATGAGATACCCTTTACCAAAAGAGAGGGCGGGTGGGCGGGGCTAGTACCTCTTTAGATAAAACTGATTTTGGCAAATCACATACCTTCTAAGAAAAGAGATGGAGGGTGGGCGGGGCTAAAACGTGCTAAGATAAGAGTGATTTTGGCAAATGAGATACTCTCCAAAAAAAGAGAGGGATTTTATTTGCCAAAAACGTTCTTATCTTAGCACGTATTAGCCCCGCCCGCCCACCCTCTTTTCTTAGAAGGTATATCTCATCTGCCAAAATAACTCTTATCTTAGAAGGTACTAGCGGACGGATGGGAGTAGTACCTGCTAAGATAAGGCTGATTTTGGCAAATGAGATACCCTTTACCAAAAGAGAGGGTGGGTGGGCGGGGCTAGTACCTCTTTAGATAAAACTGATTTTGGCAAATCACATACCTTCTAAGAAAAGAGATGGAGGGTGGGCGGGGCTAAAACCTGCTAAGATAAGAGTGATTTTGGCAACTGAGGTACTCTCCAAAAAAAGAGAGGGATTTTATTTGCCAAAAAACGCTCTTATCTTAGCACGTATTAGCCCCGCCCGCCCACCCTCTTTTCTTAGAGGGTATATTTCATCTGCCAAAATCACTCTTATCTTAGCAGGTACTAGTGGACGGGTGGGGCTAGTACGTGTTAAGATAAGGCTGATTTTGGCAAATGAGATACCCTTTACCAAAAGAGAGGATGGGTGGGCGGGGCTAATACCTGCTAAGATAAGAGTGATTTTGGCAAATGAGATACTCTCCAAGAAAAGAAAGGGATTTTATTTGCCAAAAACGCTGTTATCTTAGCACGTATTAGCCCCGCCCGCCCACCCTCTTTTCTTAGAGGGTATATCTCATCTGCCAAAATAACTCTTATCTTAGAAGGTACTAGCGGACGGATGGGACTAGTACCTGCTAAGATAAGGCTGATTTTGGCAAATGACATACCTTCTAAGAATACATTATATTTTATATATGTATTATACTTTGGCTTACGTTCAGGAAGTAAAAAATAGTAAGTGGTGCCTAAGAGAGAAAATTTAAGATTCTGAATAAAAGGAACTTGAAGACATGTTAAAGAAAGTGTCAACATTAGAGACCTTTTTAATACTTGAGAAACCTATTATTATTTTATTAAAAAAAATCGGACAAATCACAGTGATATGAACGCCTTATTTCCAATGTTTGTCATTCATCTTGTCCAATTTTCTTTTTTAATCAAATAATTACAAGTTAAAATTGGAAAATCTTTCTACTTAAATGTAAAGAAAATACAGTCAATCTGGTTGAGTGTATTCAGGAAAATTTTAATTGTAACTATTGATAATTAAAATTTTTAAATGGGGATAAATTCTGAGTATCGAAAAAATCTGAAAGAATCTTCGAGAATTTAAGATTTTTTCAAATTCTTTCATGTTTTTTACGACTCTTCTTTTCAAATTATTTGGATTCTTTCTGATTCTCTCTTTCCAATCTTTAGGATTCTTTCGAACTTTTTCAGATTCCTTCGAACTTTTCAGATTCTTTCAAAGGCACCATCAGACAGCCTCAAGATACTTTAAAATTTTTTAGTGCTTTTACAAATCCTTTCAGCTTGCTGCAGACTCTTCCAGATTTTTCTAGATTCTTCGAGTTTTTCTCATATTCCCTGGAAGAATCTGAACGATCTTGCAGGACTCTGAAGAGATGTGGAAAACTTTGGAAGCAAATATTATTATTATTATTTTTAAAATCCAGAAAATCCTAGAGAGTATCTAGGAATCTAATAAACTGATCGAACTGAGAGTCTGAGAGGATTTTGAAGAATTTCGAAAAATTTAGAAAAATCAAATAAAATCTAAAAAAACTGGAGGAATGTGGAAGAATCTGCAGGCATCTGAAAGAATCTGAAACGATTTGAATAGAACTGAAAAATTTGAAAGAATCTTGAGGACGGTATTTGATAGAATCTAAAAAAAAATGATTGAAAATGAACCGGAAGCTTTCAAAAGCATCCGGAATAATCAAAAAGAATAAAAAAAAGCGAAAAAAATGTAAAAGAGACAATCAGAAAGAAAGTGAAATAATATGAAAGCATTTGTAAGAATATGGAGGAATTTGAGGGAATCTGAGAGAAATTGTGAGATCGGAAAAATCTAAGAAATTCGGAAAATGTTTGAAAGAATCTGAGGAAACCTGTAGGCATCTCTGAGAATCTCGAAGAATCTAGAAAAATCTGGAAGAATTTGGAAAACTCTGCAGTCTGAACGTATCTGCACGGTTTTAAAACGACCTGAATAGAATTCAAAAATTTGAAAGTAAGTGAAACAATCCGAAAGCACCGGAATAATCTGAAGTAATCCAAAAGAATCCGAAAGTGGAAATCTTAAAAAAAGGAAAGGATCTGAAAACATCTGAAAGAATCTGGAAGAATCTGAGGGAATCCAAGAAAATCTGAGAATCGGAAATAATTAGAAAGAATCAGAGGGGATCGGAAAGAATCTCAAGAAATCTAGACGAATCTAGGTAAATCTGACAGTCTGAAAGAATTTGAGAGAATCTAGAAAAATGTAGAAAAAACTGGATGAATCTGAAACAGTCTGCAAGGATCTGAAAGGATCCAAAGCGAAAAAATGTGAGGAAATCTGAGGGAATCTTCAGGGATATTGAGAGAATCTGAAAGAATAGAAAAAAATGTGTATTTTTTCTAGAAAATTTCGTATTAATTTTTCAACATATTGGTACTAAAATTTATGGAAAACTTGATGTTGATATTTTACCGTTGAGACTTTAGAATTTCTTGTATTGAAAAATTACGCATTTTTGCCGTGCTTAATGTTTCTAAAATTTCATTTTTTCCGAAAAAATTTCCATGTCAACTAAAAACGCAAGCACGACAACATAATTTTTTTGACATTTCGATATTGGAGCATCTTGTCCTTTGCCTCATTAATTTCTCAACTTATGAGCCGCCCCTGGCAACAATGGAACATCGGCTACATCTTAATGCAGTTCTGGTAGTAATATAGAAGTATGTATTAATTGAAATTAATTTTGCAATAAAAACATTTTCTCTAAAAATTCATTTGATTTTTTAAAAAGAGTATCATCCGAAGGAGGTCCGAACACAAACACAAACAAACAAATAATGACTTTAAATTCGAACAATCAGTTTGCCACCTATTATTCGGAATTATAAACAAATTCGGTTAAGTCGAGCGCCATAAATCAATATTTGACGGATTTATAACTAATGAAGTTCGACGTCAGTACGAAACGCAAAATATACAGCCGGTCTGAATAGATAAATATTTATGATCACTCTTTTTAATCCGCACCATCTTCTCATGTCACATATTCATTACTCGAGCACAACAAAAACTTTTCGAAACTAAAACCGCGATTCTAATAAATCTTCAGATTAATCGCCTGGTGACTGTTATCTACCGCGTAAATTCCACCAGTAGGAAAATCCATACAATCAAAAAATATATAAACATTGATAACTGATATCTCTCACGCGACGCCTCTGTTCCCTGCTGGCAATTTTCTCCTGCATGTTCCAATCTTTTCAAATTTACGACAGACACACAGCAGTCTTTTTGCATAAACACTTGTAAAATATCGAACTTGTCGAAGTTATTGGTGCCCCCTTCACCAGACAGAGACGGGACCACCTCCATTGTGCGCCAGAAAGAGAAAGCCAGACCTCGAAAGCTCACACGCGATCGAAATAAATTTCAGTTTTCAGTTCTTGAGCGGCTGCTGCTGGAGTAGGTTGTACAAACTCCGTCCGCCGCAGTTCGCGTCGTGCGCGCTTTTCACGTCGCGCTTTTCTTTCGCATTTTCCGGCCGGTCCGCCCGTTATTAGCCATGTAATCGGCCATAATTTATTTCTAATTTGTTTGATCTAACTGGCGCCGCGGAATGCGCTTCCTAAACACGCGTTTGTTTGAAAAGTTTTAAAATAAACATCGTGAAGGGGTTCGAAAAGACATTCAACAGTGTCCTGTCGAATATGTTTGCACACAACGAAAGCTCAGTGGCCAACAGAACGTTGTTAGTGTGGATTATCGGGAGCTTGACGAGTTCGATGTCTTCCTCCTCTTTTGCATATTCGCTGCAAACAGAAGAACCCGTCACCGTAAATAAAGCACGGACACCGCAGCCTTGGGTCCGCGTTTCCACAGGTAATTTATCAACATTGTTATTTATTATTGTTTATTAGCGATGGGTGATGGTTCGATGAACCGGCACGAGCTGGGCTCCATTCCCATCGGCTACAGAGTAATAAAAAGCTAATTGTTTAACGGGGATTTTCACCCAACTTCCAGCGGGTAAAATATTGGTTTCTGTTTTTGTGTACCAAAGACGGTTTTTGGTTTTTAATCTCCCTTGTGACGATGGAATAAAGTGAACTTTGCTCTTTCTTGCAATGTATCATTTACTTCGAACTATTTATAAACAAATGTAAATAGAATTAAATTACGAACAACTACATATTATAATTCATTTATACAAGCCGAACTCAAGTATTGAATTCTTTCATTAATAAAAACATCTCTTGGACTTTAATCGAAGTCGCTTCGGTTACAAAATAATGACAGTGGCTAATTTTCGTAGTAACAAAAACAAAAATTTTCTAAACATAAACACAGTTTTGAGTGTCTCGAAAAATCTGCAGAAACACATTAAGACGTCGTAAATCGTCGAAAATGCTTACAGTAACTGTTGCACGGCAATAACAATTACTCATAATGCAGATATTCGCTTTGGACAAAATCGCATGATCGTTAATGCTAGCAGAATTTAAAGAATTTTCCGGAAACGTGGCATACAAAGTTTTTTCGGCGACTGCGATTTATAATCAAATGGTGTACTACTTTATTCTTGTAATTTCTTGATGCGCCAGTTAAAATAAAATGTTCAGGGCCAACATTTACATTCTTCATAAAATTATGTCTTTGTTTAGATCAGTTGTAATTCAGAAAAAGTGAAAAAAAGTGTGACGCGAGTTCAAAAATAATTATTTTAATTTGCACCGTTTATGAAGATAATTACAGTAATAAAGGAACTGCAGACATGAGAGATTATTTAATGGACTGGTGAATTGGAAATTGATGGACAATTATTTGTAACCGGCGTTTCTTTAATTTGCATTTGTGTTGTATTTTTTTAATTTGCTAAGATCTCGTACTGGATCGTTTCAATTTGGAAATTCACTATTACATTTTATCGAATCTCAAAGTCACTGAGCTGCGAAACTTATGCCCACTGTATTCTTTATGGATGTAAATTAATTTTCAGAAGTCAGGCTAAAAAATTGGTTATGTAATGGACTTATGAATTGGAAACTGATGGACAATTGTTTGTGACCAGCGTTTCTTTAATTTGCATTTGTGTTGTTGTTTTAATCTTCCAAAAATGTCTCGTACTGGATTGTTTCAAGTTTAAAATTCACTATTACATATTATCAGTTCTCAAAGTCACTGAGCTGCCAAATTATGGCCAGTGTATTCTTTATGATCGTAAAATAATTTTCAGAAATAATAATTTTTCAAGTTTTTATTTTGAATATGTAATAATATTTAGCATTTTTTAAATTTTCACTCTTTCAATTTTACGACTTTTTCCATTTTTCAAGTACATATTGGATTTTAAAACTTTTTCATTTATTCGATTTTTCAATTTTTGATTTCTGAATTTCTCGATATTTAATTTTTCAATTTTACATTTTTTGGGGTTTTCCAATGTTTCGATTCTATTTATTTTTTCTTCATTCCAGTTTTTCGATTTGTTACGTAATTTTTTTTTCGATTTTTAAGTTTCTCCATTTTTAGTTTTTCAGTGTTTCAATTTTTATATTCTTCGATCTGCAATTTTTTGATTTTCTCTTTTTTCGATTTTGCAATTTCTCGTTTTTTCGATTTGTTGATTTGTCAATTTCTCGGAGCAAAAAAAGGAAAAATTGTAAAATTGAAAAATCAAAAATAAAAACACGAGAAGTATTAAATGAAAACTTTGAAAAATCTGAAGACTGAAAATGAAGAACTTGAAACAATGAAGAAACGAAAGATTAAAAATTGAGAAACCTAAAAATTGAAATATTGAAAATTAAAGAAAAAATTGTCAAATTGTACAATTTAAAAATTGGAAAATAGAGGAATTGAAAAATCAAAAATTGAAAGAAAACCTAAAGGAATTGAAAAAACAAAAAACTGTGATCATAAAATCGAGAAAATGAAAACTTGAAAAATCAGGAAAATAAAAAATAAAAATCAAGAACTTGAAAAACTGAGGAAAAGAAAAAATGTAATATCGAAAAATGGAAGAAACGAAACATTGAAAAAACAAAGAAAGAGGAAAAATGGAAAATTGTTACATCAACAAATTGGTCGAAGTTCCTTCCATTTAGATTTTTCAAAGTTTTCATTTTATGTTTTCCGTTTTTTATTTTTTACAATTTTGTAATTTTTTCCAACTTTTTGATTTGAAAAGTTGAAAAATCACATCAAAATTTTGGAATCCAATAATTGAAAAATGGAAAAATTCTGAAATCATAAAATTTAAATTGTAAAAAAAAATAAAAATTGTATTCATTGTTACACATTTAAAATTAGAACTAGAAAAATCCAAAAATTGAAAATTTTCACAAGAAAAACAAGAAAAGGTATAAAATCAGAACATTGAAAAATAAGGAAAATAAAAAATCCAAACGAAAAATTGCAAATCGAAAAATTGAAGAAACCAAAAATTCATAAAATTAAAATTGTAGAAACAAAAAATTCTAAAATCGGAACATTGAAAAATTGCAAAATTGTAAAAATGAAGAAAATAAATATCCGAACCGAAAAACTGCAAATTGTAAATTTGAAGAAATGAAACATTAAAAAATCGAAAAAATTAAAAATTGAAAAGTTGGGAAATTTTGAATCAAAAAATTGCAAAATCTAAACATTGAGAAACAAGAAAAATGAAAAATTGGAAGAAAAACTAAAGGAAATAAAAAAACGATAAAAAAATAAAATCAAGAAAATGAAAATGGAAAAATAAAAATTAAGAACTTGAAAAATTGAGGAAAGGAAAAATGGAAAATTGTATCAAAAAATTGGTAGAAGTTCTGGATTTTCACTATTTAGATTTTTGAATTTTTCAATTTATATTTTCCGTTTTTTCTTTTTTTTTCAATTTTGCAATTTTTTTCCTTTTTTTTTTTATTTGAAAAGTTTAACATCAAAAGATCGAAAAAATTGATAAATCGAATACATCAAAATTTTAGAGAATCCAATTTGAAAAATGGAAAAATTCTAAAATCATAAAATTGAAAATTAAAAATTATATTTATTAATACACTTTTACAATTAAAACTAGAAAAATAGGAAGTCAAACATTGAAGAAACGAAAAACTGAAAAATCTAGAGACTGAAAAAATGAAAAATTAAAAAAATCTAGAAGTTGAAAAATCCAAAAATTGAAAAATTTCACATTGAAATAAGAAAAATGATAAAATTAGAACATTGAAAAATTGAAAAATAAAGAAAGTAAAAAATCCACACGAAAAATTGCAGAAACAAAAAATTCAAAAATGGAAAAATTGTAAAAACGAAACATTAAAGAATCGAAAAATGAAAAATTGAAAAATTGGAAGAAAAACTGAAGAAAATAAAAAAATCATAAACTCTGATAGTAAAATCAACAAAATGAAAATTGAAAAATCGGGAAAATGAAAAATAAAAATTAAAAACTTGCAAAATTGAGGAAATTGCAAATCGAAAAATAGAAGAAACGCAAAATTGAAAAAATAAAGAAAAGAAAAATGGAAAATTGTTATATGTATCAATAAATTGGTCTTAATTCTTGATTTCAAATTTTTAGATTTTTGAAAGTTTTCATTTTATATTTTCCGTTTTTTTATTTTTCAATTTGCAATTTTTTCCATTTTTTTTTATTCGAAAAGTCGAAAGATCGAAAAAATTGATAAAACGAATACGTCAAAATTTTAGAATGCAATAATTGAAAAATTAAAAAATTCTAAAATCAAAACTGAAAATGTAAAAAAAATAAAAATTATATTTATTATTCCACATTTAAAATTAAAACTAGAAAAATGGCAAATCAGAAATTGAAGAAACGAAAAACTGAAAAAAACAAAAAAAAAAAATCTAGAAGTTGAAAAATCCAAAAATTAAAAAATTTCACATTGAAACAACAAAAATTATACAATCGGAACACTGAAAAATTGAAAAATAGAGAAAATAAAAAACCCAAACGAAAAATTGAAGAAACCAAAAATTTATAAAATTAAAATTGCAGAAACAAAAAATTCTAAAATTGGAATAGTGAAAAATCGAAAAATTGTAAAAATTAAGAAAATAAATATCCAAACCGAAAAACTGCAAATCGTATAAATTTGAGGAAATGAAACATTAAATAATCGAAAAATTAAAAATTGAAAACTCGGGAAATTTTAAATAAAAAAATTGCAAAATCTAGCCATTGAGAAACAAGAAGAGTGAAAAATTGACAAATTGCAAATCGAAAAATTGAAAAATTCAAAAGTTGAAAAAATTTGCAGTAAAAGAAAAATGATAAGTCAAATCACTGAAAACCCGAAAAATTGAGGAATTGTAAAAAAAAAGTCAAAAAATCTGGGGGAGTGTTATTTACGCCACTAGCACTGGTTTCTACTTTATAGAGGTTACCAGAAAACAGAAATTGCACAAACTGAAGAAACAAAAAAAAAGTTGAAAAAACTACATTTTTCAAAAAATTATAAGATTTTGCGAAATTAATTTTTTATCAAGTTAAAATAAAGATATGTATGTAATTTTAAAGTAAATGTATAGAAGCATGCTACGCTTTGTTTCAAGTGAGTTTTTCAATTACAAAATGTAATTTCATCAACATTTTGCAAGGACACGTCTATCAATTTGGATAGATGCAGTGTAATATACTAATAATAAAAGTACTGTAGTTCCAAATTTTTGGAGAAAATGGACTGTGTCGTTCTTGATTTTATTCATTACAATAAATTGCTTCATTTATTTTTTTTGTCACCCTATATAAGTAATTCTAGAATCTATTGAGTGCATTCATTGATTAACCACAATTATAGAGTCACAATATTTTGCATATTTCAGAGAGAATTGAGATGACGTTATCATAAATGAATAAATTATGATTAAAGCTT